ACTGTAAGCAACTTGGGCTAAAGAGCTTACCTGATGATCTGATGTTATTCTATACCGTATTCTAGAACCCAGATCTAACTTACAAATGCGGGGAAGATGAAGGAATCCTGGGCACGAGATCGTCTTTTCTCACCTCAGAGAACTAGCCATTTTCCTTGTAAGTAAGCCTTAGTTACTGGACCAGTGACTACACTCTTCAATATCTCGTAGTCAGAGGGTCATGCTAAATATCTAACAAAATCCCATGGCTACCCAATGAAGCAAGAAGGCAGGTCCTAAAACCCAACAGATGCATTTACTTTACAAATTTCATTAACGTAAATTCACCTTAGACGCAGCAAGCTGTCATTTTGGTACTCAGAGTTTTAAAAAACATGCGAATGTGATAATTAACAATTATTCCACGAGCGCACGTTGGATATGAGATGATAGAAAGCCAAAGAGGCGCGTAGCGCCGAGTTGGCTTTAATCATCTCATATTCAACAAGCGCGAGTGGAATAATTGTTATTCCCAATTCCTTCTTCGAGAATCTCTGAGTCTCCCTTTGAAGTTTCTTAACACCTTTTGCAATTAGTTCAATACTCCTTATAAGTGCACAACGTTTCCTGACCGCACATATAAATTTAATCCTTGTTAGCCGATTGAGATCATAAACATTTTAGAATTTATGTATGTCTCTCTTCTTTCCACCACTGCGAAATTGTCCAAAACTGAACTGTGTGAGTACATAATAGGATTGCTGTGTTAATTCACCGATGAAGATGCAGGATTTAAATCTAAGAGGCATATATCTTTAGCCATGAAAATGCGCACTTTTAAGACAAACATTACCAAACGTCGAGATTTTAAGTTAATTTGAGATCTCGAAAAATTAAACCTTCCTAAAATGTCCGAGAAGTGTTAACCCTTCACCAAAATTTTCCATGGCTGTTAATTCAGATACAGAGAAGCGTGGATGTAAATTTTCAGCTTTGCGAGGCACTTAAGATTTCTCTGAACCAAAACCTTGCTCTTCCCAGATCATATTTTGCTTATCCAATAACAGGTTACACGTTTAAGGTATAGCCCAATGAAAAAGACCATTAAAAAAACTGAAAATACTAACTTCTAAAGTAGAGCCCTTCTATCGAAGGGTGACCATTTAGGTCAATCTGTTAGCCCTGGGTTTCTAAAGTTTAGGGGTTAGGTGGGTGATAACTAAAGTAATCTCTATCGAATGCAGAGTATCTTGTGTCTTAAATTTAGTATCTACCACACAAAGCTTCCGCTTCTTCCTTTAACTCCTTCCCTAATGATGGGTGCGGCCTACAGACCAACAGACATCTATATACCAACAGACATCTATAGATTCTAGTTTAGTTGGTCGTACAAGTTGAGAAAGACATAGGAGCACACTCAAGTAACGACTTCATAAACTTCTTTTTATTGCCTCTCTACCAGCAACTGCTAATGGAATAAAAAGCTTCAATACATAATGAAACTTCAATTAAAACTTAGATAAATCAAACTTACAGTTTTCCTGTTTTCTCCCAATCGTAATGAGTTAGTTATCATGCATAGATATCAACAGACACTACTCGATGCTAAGTGCCTTTGTGTATTGTCTCAATAATGTGTTAGTTCTGCACTTTTCTTCAATAAAAATCAGTGTCTATTCACCTGAGTAACGAAATCTTTTAACTCAATAAATAAACTGCATAATATGCGAATTGCGCAACTAAAAGCTCGAAAAAAGTAAACGACATTGAGTTCAAAACTTCGTGAAACCGTCGGACTGGTTTTCTTGGGTCCCCCCTCGGTTACTGTCATCCTCTTCATCCTTCGTCCGCGGTACAACAAGACTGCAGCCACGATGATTACAAGCGGAAACAGGGCGCTGACAAGCACCAAGTAATTCTTCTGTTTTTCTGGACGAGCCACTTCTGTAAAGGTTCCTCTTTGCTCCTTGCTTACATCACTGCCCATATTGGGAAAGACGCGTTCAACGATCTCCACGTATTCTTTGTTCAGATACTCGTGCACGAACCGCTCCATGATGGTCTCAAACTCTTGGCACTGGTCCTCGCGAGCGCATCGCAGAAAACTGCGGCATATTGCTGTAAGATGCATTCCCCAATACGGCACCATGGCGCTTTCATTGTTGTGGTAGGCGCTCAGGTCAAACCAGAAGTATCCAGTTCCATTGGCGACTCGTCCAGGAACGGTAATCAGTGTGAGGTACTCGTCCCAGCTCAGCTGAAAGGGACAAAGTTCGTTGTTGATAGGAGTGAAGACCTGGCTAGCTGAATTAACAGATGCATCACAGTCTAACATCATAACAGCCTCTACATTCACATCAAATATTTCTCAAGCTATTGACTGTTTCTTCCCCCGGAGCAAACTGTCAAACAGAAAGTCACAAGCTCCTAGGAGTGCTCATTCAGGATGATCTAAAATGGCGTAGTCACATTCTTAGCATTACAAAGAAAGCTGCTCAGCGACTTTATATCCTTCGTGTCCTGCGCCGCAATGGCCTTCCACCCAAGGATTTACTTAGTGTCTATACTGCTCTAATACGTTCTGTTTTGGAGTACGCATGCCCGGTATGGCATTCTAGCCTTCCATCTTACCTTGTGGACAATTTAGAACAGATACAAAGAAGAGCTTTCAGGATAATCGAACCACTAATTTCTTACAGAACTGCATGTAATGTTTTGAATTATCCCACACTGAAGTCTTTGCCTCGAACAGTTCAAGAAAACTAAAAACGCACAGTTGTCATCATTAATTCCACAGAAAAGACTAGACGCACACGGCCGCCAGCTGCGCTCCAGCAATAACTTGACTCTTTTTAAATGTAGGACAAAACGATTTAAAATAAGTTTTTTTTCCCGCAATGACGCCAAAGCTTAATGAATTATCGCAATAGACTTATATCGCATTTGTAATAATTTGTTGATAGAACCTTGTGAGCCGGTAACCCAGTCCCCCGGCAAAATTTTTAAATATATAGTCTCATTTAATTTGTAAATATTTTTTGTAATTTCTTGTAAATATGAAGTATTTCATTTTAGTACCCAATTCATATCTAATAAACCATTACCATTACCATTACCAGTCAGTGGCAAGCGTGTACACGGGACCAATGCCCACTGTTCCATTCTCATGAACACCGCACTGGTCAATTGTTTCACTGATGATCCACGACCACGTGGGTGTCTGTGAAGCCGTCGTAAGTAGTCCGGGTCCCATTTTGTGGAAAAGGGTATATGGCTTTCACTTCGCATCAGGCAGAGACTCGATCAGCTCCCTTGACACCACGGATTACATCACCTAAAGTGAGTTGTGAGACACTCAGGTGACCTTTGGATTGTTCTTCCAACTGCATTACACCCGATACACAGTCCATGCCCAGCATATTTGCTGACTCACATAAAAAAGAACTATCAGGGCACTGAACAACCACCAAAGATATTGTATCGTGGACACAACTCAGTTTTGTTTTTACTTGAGTTGTAGTGATGTAAAGGGCAAAAGTAAGTACTTACAAGTTTATGAAAGGTTGTAAGTGTGGCTTTATAAAAAGAAATCCGACTCTCTAAGAAATATGGGAAACCAAAATATCTTTGTTACCAATCAGATGCTAGACGACCACCCTGAGATCTTTCCTTTTAGAGGTCAATCGTAGTCACTTTGCTCAAACTGGTGTTCTGAACGCGTTCTGCCGGGCTACGATCAAAGATAGGGTCAGAATTTGTGAGGGCGAGAAACACACCCCTATCAAGAATTTTTCTCTCCCATCGATGAGCCCGCATCTACAACATTGTTTTAGAGTGTTTTACCAACCAAATATGAAAATGAAAATAAAAAATAATGGAAGATATCTGAGGAAGTGGCGAAAGTGTTCAAAAGAATTCCGATCCTTTTCTATAATCCTGTTTGCATAAATATACATGTGTAGGCGGCCGGCGCCAACCTCGTTTCTAAGAGTGGAGAGAGCGAGAAGAGAGAATTTGGAGACAAGTTTAATTAAAGAAGGGTGCTCTCAGCCTCATACTCCATAGGACGGGAGATAAATCACAGAAAGTATTTTTGTAAAGGCGTAAAGGGAATAGGTGTTGTATAATTTGACAACAAAAGCAAACACATTACCAGTATTGCATGGATTGCAATCATTACTTAGTTCTTATTAACCAAGCGGGAGGTCTGTATAGGAGAATCTTGACCGAGGTCGCCAGTACAGACCGAACGCAGTCAGGTCTGTATCAACGACCGAGGTTAAGATTCTCCCATACAGACCGACCTAGCTC